GTATTTCTTAAAAAGTGCTGTACTATGATAATTATAAAGCACTGATTCTTTAGCAGGCAGATAAAAACAAAACCAAAATGAAGGAAGTACTGCTAAACCAACCTCATAACAAATATAATTCTAATGCAGCAAATATTTAAAGTGTACACATTTCCTCAATATGTAATAGTATTAAAATTACAAATCAACTATTTGACTTTAAAACATCAGTTAAGCTTAAAAAAACCCTGATCATTCTAAAATCTATTTCAAATTATTAAAATGGCTAACGCTAGTTTTAATTCATTCCCTTCACCCTCATATGACTTTTTGAAATGGAAACTGTAAAATTTGTTTCTTCATAACACAATGATCAATCAGCAGTAATGAATAAAGGGAACATCCCTCTTTCGATCTTTGATCAATAGCTACTTTACAGAAAGGGTATATGCCATAATTTAATCCTTATGTACAATTCTTTTCCACTTACTTCATATCTTATATTTTGTGTGGAATGGCAAAGTTTTACGATTTAGAACATAATGATCTGCTCCAATTTTTACAAAACTGTTTAATTTGGGAACTGCTTTTCTTTTTATTTGGTGACTTAGTTTGCAGCTAATCAAAAAATAAAAATAAAAGGCCCCATCAGCTCACAGGAACACATAGAAGGTTTTAGGCCATATGCCCAGGAATTTTCTGGTTCATTCAATAACTATCAACCTCCCAAAGGAAATACTTGAAATTCCACTATTAAAAAATATATGAAATGAGCAAAAAGTGCTACAAGAAAATAGTATTCATTAACAAGAGTGTTTTTTGTTTCAATGCGAAAATTATACTTTTGAACAAAAATCTGTTCCAAAATTTTGTTATGCCAAACTACTAAAATGTTGCATATATACAAAGTAGCTGTCAGAAGTCAATAATAAATGAAAAGTATATATCTAGATGAAGAGTAATCATAGATACTTTCAAGTTAACATGTCAGGGTATATGTGAGAAAAATCTAATAGGCTAAAAAGAAGTCGATTGGAATTTTATATATTTTAAAGATTACTTTATCTTTTAATAATTAAAAAAAGTTGATCAAGAATAAACCTTCTTCCTAATGGAAACAAATTCCTTTGTGTGTCTTTAATGATAGATAAAAAGGCAAATATGCCTTATTTAAATATTGGTATTTTAGACACCTTGCTTAGATGGAGTAATAGCTCTTTTATCTACAGCTCAGCTATGTTACATACTTCAGTTATAATCCAAACCCAGAAAGTACACCACGGTTCTTTAAACAGCCAACAGAAATGTTAAAAGGTTCATGTGCTCAGGCATATTGCTCTCAAAGGTAACGTTATTCTGAGTCAATGCACTTCCTTAAACAATTCTAACAAACTTGGCTTTCCAAATCCACAGATGAAAAGCAACAATTATGAGAAGCTACTATAGGCAAAGCATACTGATAATAGTGAAATGCAGTATCTGTTTATAAGCCTGAAAGTCAAAAGGAAAGGTACAAAAAAAAAAAGGGGGGGGGATCAAAAGACAAAGTTGACCCCTTCTAAGGTTACTTACTTCGAGCATTCAGGAGACTCTCAAGTCAGCATGCTACTACATTATACAACTGAAATTAATAATGACCTTGAGACTGCAATACAGTTCCTTCAAGTATATATTTTGATATCAGACTACTTGATAGGGTGATTGCATTTGGTTTGTTTGGGACTGTCCCAGATTAATCAAGCCTGTTATTTGGCATAATTATTTCTAGCTCTCCTTTTCACTCTCAAGGGTCCCGGTCTGGACTACAGCTTTCAGGGGACATCCTACTGAGTATTTACCACATCCCGGGACTCTTTATTCCAGGTGCTTTAATTTACCCTCACAATCCTATAAAATGTGGTATAATTATTGTCCCCTTTTTATACATAAACTAAGACTCTGAGAGGCTAAATGATTTTCCAGAGATTGATAGTCAGTGTTCAAGGCCTATATATGACTAACCCACACCTCTGACACCAAAGTCCTAGTATCGAAAACACTGTTAATACACAGAACTGTCTCTCCTAGGAAGATGGCCATGGAAGGGGGAGGGAATCCAAGTTTTTAGAAGAATTTAGTAGTATTAAAAAACTGAGGTATTAGCTTTCTAGAAAGTGTCTATACAGTCCTTATGATTCCACAATCCCATAAACTCATAATGCTGAAACGTCTAAGAAAATCTTTGAAGGGTAAAACTATAATAGTTCAAATTTTTATGAGCATGGGCTTTCTTAGGAAACAGTATTTCTCTAACTTTATTTCCTCTTTTATTTTATACTTCAAAATTATTTGAAGGAAAAATAATACCTAATAGGTCACATGAGAAAAAGCAAATTACATTAAAAAGGTTTAGTCATGAACATCAACTCAAGAGGCTACACTTTATACTTCCTTCTGAAAAAGGTGCTACGTATCAGCTAATTAAATCTTTAACTGTGAGATTAAGTAGGTTACAAACATAAAGAGGTTCAGAGACTTGTAATAGTTATTTTTAACACGATTTCCTATTTACTTAACTGCATTTATTTAGAATGGTTGAAATGATTATATTTATGTAGTGTTTTCCTGTTTTGCAAAAAGTATTTTCATATTTGATCCTCAGCAACCAAGTATGGACAGATACTACCATTCTCTATTATGAAGAAACTGAGGCTCAGAGATTAATTTGCTCAATTATGACAGGAAATTAAAGTAGAGTGATGACTCTCAATTCTATTTGGAAAGAAAGCAATTACTTAAATGCTTGAGAGTAAAAGAAAAGCCTCAGACTTCCTTGTTGGCTGAGATAAAACACAGAATACCTGTAAATTATAGAGTATCTATAAATTACAGACAAAATACAGAATACCTATGCTGTCTGAAAAGCAATATTCACTGGGGCCTGCCTATTACCTCTCTAGTAGCTTTACTAGTCATAGGAAAATGAATACTCATTTGTTTTGGATCTCAAACTATTATTAAATTTACAAACAAAACCAGGACCTATAAAGACCAGATTATTTTTTGAGTGACAAACGTTAATAATGAAAGGTGTTTTCAACCACTCTGATTTACCATTGCTGAAATTATCCTTTAATGTGAAAACACTTTTAAAGCAATTTTCTCCTGAAGCTCATTTGCCAGATTCCATAAATCAGCTGCTACAAAGGATCTAATATCAGAGAAACTCCAAACGAACAAGAGGCTTTTCTTCCCATCTACTAAAAGGTACATTAAACACCGAATGCTGGCCACATTATTTTACATAATGATGGAAAACAACAGCTGATAGTCAGTTTGGGACAAATGCCAACTGTTCCCATTTGTCTGACAAAAAAAATTAACTGTGACAACACTGTTTTCAGAGTATCACTACCTCTAAATGAGAAAGCATAATCAACTAAATCCTAAAAAGACTCAAGATAATAGTGCCTCTGATTTGCAATATTAGCTTTAAAAATTTTAATGTTCTGAAGTATAAGTAAACACATCTCAACAGCTTTATATATTTTCATGTATTTTATTTAGAATTTTGCAAGCTAGCAGTAAAATATTATCCTCAATATTTTACTAATTAGCACCATATACCTTTTAAAGCTAACTGCAACAGTTTCATTATAAATGATTGTAAAGTAAAATCATTTCAAATGCCAAATCAGTCTCAAGTAACATGTGAATCGTTAATTTTATCATTACTTTTGGCTTTTGCACAAAGATGTATTTCAAAGATGAGCTTAATAATCAAATCAGTTCTGTCAATCTAACAAATCAAAGTACCACAGTTTAAAGCAGTATGTACTCTCTGAAATGATTATATGATTAAAGAGGCACATAAGTTAAGAAACTGGCTATAAAAACAAAAGATACTACATAACTTATTTAGTTTCTTATTTTTTAGAAAAATGAGGAAAATTCCATGGTATAAATATCAGTTACACATATGGTTTGGTGTATGCCAGTATCTTCATGCTTTACTTAGGAGTTTGGCTTTACCAAAAAGCCGTGATAATTTTCAGGGTAATTCACAAGGACAGCTGGAAGCCTAAAATAAAACGCTCAGTGCAAAAGATCCCAAGTCATTCATATAATTTTAAATGAAAACCTAGACATTTAACTCCTATTTGGTTTTAACTGAAAAATCTTTTGAAAATGTGGAAAAATATCTAATTATATTCAAATTACATCCACACATTAAAAAAAGGGGGATTTTTTACTTCCTGTTTTGGGATAAGAGCATTCTGCAGAGCTATGGGGTTAAGGGTTAGTTCAAAGCTACGACTGACTGCTTACTAGCATGCCTGTTTTGCATACCAGTAGAATCCAGTCCAGTTTTGCCATTTGTGGATAACTATGACAAGATACAAAAGCATGTGTTTGCCATAAATAGCTCTGGCTAACAGCAAACTGCTCACACTGAGCAGATCAAATTCTCTATAAGGAGAGCAGTCTGGACCACAGCCAAATACCACTCCTACTGCTTAAAACTGCTATAGCAATTCTTTTTTCCCAATTTGCAAAATAAGAAATAGTAGCTCAAGTGATAAACATGAGAAGTATTATTAAACTTGTGAAGGACATTTTACAAATTATTTTCATTATAATTAAAGACACAGTAAGAGCTTCCTTCTTTTACTAACCACTTAGAAATGTAAACGTGAATTAAAAAAGAACCCTAATTTATCTAGAGAATAAATCAGATATTGAAGAGTATGTATGTTAAAGTGCCAAAAAAATAATTTCTGATTTCCATATTAACACATAAGAAAATAAATAAACTAATGCTTATAAAAGTATTCCACTAAATAATATTTTTATATTACTTGGCTTTAGGATAGTGTATTTTTTTAAACCAAATAAACCCAACAAACTGGAAAATGTCATGCGTGAATATTGTACAAAAAAATTCTTAAATGACCAGTGCAGAGATTAATAATAGCATTTACATAAGAATTTGCTTCACATAACATCTGCAAAACATCCAAGGAAAACAAGGCAACGTTCCATAATATGCCACAATTTTTATTGCAACGTGGCCATTTTGTGAGGATGGGGAGTTTGATCTCAAAAACGTTCCATTTAAGGCTCTTTTATACAGAAATTGCCATCATGACTGATAAAATATCTTTAGTGTTGCAAGACTTACATGGTAAACATAAAACTCCTACACTTACTCAGTAGTGTACACTCAATGGACAACAAAAAGGCATTAATAACAGCTAGTTCTTTTAAGAAGGTATGCAGGTAACAAGAATGAACACTGAGGTACTAGGATAAGTTGATGACACAGTTAACACAACTTAATTGGCATTCCTTTTGGGGTGGGGAGTTAAACTCAATACAAAAAGTGCTTTCAATGCATAGTGTTATATCCGTGCTGCCATGTCACAAAATAGGCTTGCCAAGGCAGGTGAGGTGTATGAATGCTGGAGCCTCAGAGAACTTCAATCAAATGCAACTATAAATAATACTGAATAAAGTTTACCATCTGACCAGTGGATAATACTTTCAAGGCATTCAATTAGCTTACCCTTTGCAGTATTCTAAGCTATTCACATTGACAATCACATTCGTTGTAGTGCTTGCTGCTGCAAGGGAGGCATATAACCAGTTGTTTTGGCTAAAATATAATGGGAAGGCATTCCTTGGATTCTACATCAAAGTAACAGTATTAAACAGTCTAATGGCAATCACTGATAGGCTGCTTGCATCAATGATATCTCCTTCATTCATTATGTTGGAAAGACCCAGTGGGAAAAGGAAAAAAACAAAAACAAAACCTAATACTATTCCAATTGACTGAGCTAAAGAAATGAAAGCTCCTTAAGATCTGGATGGCACTTGACTGTCATTTTATAACGGTTTTCCTTCAAGTGAAACTACTACGTTGCCTCCCAATTTCTCTCCAAGTGTCGAACGGTCCTTTATGTCATCCAAGCCATTTACTTGCCACTCATGTTTAATACCTACAAAGAAAAAAATCCCATTACTTTATTATAATTAAGAAAGAATAATTCCTCCACACACAATATTCAGTGTTTGTACCTGTAAATTTCTTTTTAATGGCATCTTTAGAGCTGGCATAGATCATCTTGCTTTTTAAAGGTGCACTTTCAGGGGCCCTAGAGAAGAAAAAACAATTGTTGAATCCCAATGGAAAAGAAAAACAAAGGCAAAACTGACTATGTTAATAACAATCCTTGCATTTTAAAAGTACTTTTTTCTTTTGTTTTTACACACCAGAATATAAATACTAGGTCTTCTTTCTTAGACTCTTTTGTTTCGTATGTGGCATCGTACAAAGCATATCGGCAATCATTCAGAGGTAGCAACTTCACAAAAGATGTGTAGGGGTCTTCTACAGTATCACCAATGTCACCCACCAAGATCTGCTTTGCTTCTTCTACAATTATTTGTCTTTTGTCATCGCTTAAACAGAAGAGAACTGCTTTCTTTCTTTTTTTGATCTCCTCTTGTGTGGAAGATTTCCTTACTTTCATATCATTAAAAACTTTGATGACTTCATCATTCACTGTAACTCCAGAAGCCTAAAAAAAAATAATAAAAGAACAGTAATTCAGAATAACTATTTTGGTTTTGACCAAAATTACTATTTGCCTAGAGAGGATTCAAGTTAGTCTGGATATCAAAAATTGCAACTTTCCATACAAGTAGTCCAATCAGATTTACCACGTTTTAAGTATATGATGCACCTAAGGATTCTAACTCACCCTGCCCCATCCATCTTTTCTAAAGTGGTTTGCGGCCTGAAGTAAATAGAAGGTAGAAGGAAAGGGACAAATACAGGCTGTCCCATCCCTGAAATGTTTCCTCTTTCACTGGGTGATGTCAGAGCTTCAGGAACAGCAGTAAAATACCTTCTGTATTGTGTCAACTCTGCAGGCCTTAAAAAAACACTTTAGGATTTCAGTTAATGCTTCTACTATTTTTTTTCTTTAAAGTCATCCTAGCCGGTGCCGTTTCCTCATAAGGAAAGAGAATCAAGTGTAAACTCCAACCGCCCACTGCTTCAACCTAACTCCCTCACGGCGCAAATGCAGACACCAAAATTAACGGATCTAGTGTAAAAGCTTTTTTAGCGCCAGAAAGCATTTTTAAGACTTTTCCCACCCGCCTCAGAGGGCTTTTATTACAGGCCATCCAGACCCTTGAGCCAGGGCTTCAAAACACGTAGCAATTTTAGACCGCGCCAGTTAAGTACAATTAGGCAGCTAAGGGCAAACGCGGCGAGAGTGAGCTCCGCAGCCTCCCGCGCCCCTGTCGCCGCTCCGAGTGGCGCGACGCCTCCGGCCGCCTCCCGCTCCGCTCAGGCCCCGAGCCCCGACCGGCGCCCGGGCCCGACCAGCGCCCGGACCTTCCCCACCCCCAGGAATCCGAAGAGAGGCAGGGCCCGGGTGGAGACGGAGTAGCGGGGCCGCAACGCAAAAGCGCCCACCTTTGAGGCCAAAATCAGGTTAAAATGGCGGCCTCACTCCCAGGCCCTGCAGGGCCGGTTGTTCGCCGCACCCCGGCCCTCGACCCCCCGGTTGACACGCCCGCCTCACCATAGTGCCCCCAGCTGTGCTTGCGGCGGCGGCTGGAGCTCCGGCTCGGTGGCACTGGGAGGAGAAGAAGGAGGGGCTGGCGGACAGCAGCGAGTGCGAGGCACGCCGGGAGTTGCAGCCGGAGAGGCGGCAGCTGCGGCGGTCGGGGGGCTGCGGGCGGCGGGCTGGCGGTCACGTGGGCACGCCCGGGGCCGGCCCCTCGGCCTCCCGGCCCCGCCCGCGTCCTCGACCTGACCCGGGCGCGCGCGCACAGCAGGGCCTGTCTGCCACTCTGCGGTGATCGGAGCTCGGAAGCTTGGAGGAGCAGCCTCTCGCCTCTGGGCACAGCCGGTCGCTGTTAGTCCCGGGCGCTCGGCTCGCGGAGGGGCGTCTCCTCGCTGCCTGCGGGAGGGCGCTACTCCCGCGGTCGGTGCTTTTGACGGGAACGGCGCAGCAAGGAGTCTTTCTTTTATTCACCCGAGGTTTCCACCGTTAGGGGCCGAATTCCAGGGTTTTGAGTCATTTTGGAAAGACCCCGTACAGACGTGGTGTGAATTGTCAGATCTTCTTCCCCCAGTGAAATGAGATACACACTCTAGGGGGTTACCAAGTTGATTGAATTACTTAGGGAAAAACAAAATGATAGGTGGAAAATCACTTTCCAAAGTCTGTGGTTGATATAATAATAGGGGGGAAATGGTAGTAACATCCCTTGGTAATAATATACTTTTATATATCAGATAGCATAGGAAATGATCTGTAGTCTCTGCTAGCAGTCTTGTTTTTTCATGAAGCCCCAGTTATGACAGCTGACATCAAATAAGTGGAAAGAAGGGTGGAGATTCCTCCCTCTTCTTGGCAATCACAACCTCTTCTAGCGAAGCTTGTATAACTGAGCCAAGGCTTTTTTCTAACTAACCTTTTTAATACTTAAAAAGTATGCCATTTATCAGAGAAAAGAAAGTCACTTTATCCTTTGAGGAAATTTTTCATAAAGATTTAAGTAAACTATTAGTTTATAATGAAAATGTTATAAGTGAAACACTTTATGTGTTCTCTATAATGAAAAAGATTTAATTGTTTAATAACTGGGCTGATTTATGCCTCATTTTTCCTAAATGTTTACAGTTTCTATCTTACTTTCTTCATTTGTAAAATTGGTAAAATGAATTTGAAACTATGATCAATAGTGAAACTTTTTTAAAGTATATTTTATTATGTTATTACAGTTGTCCCATTTTTTTCTCCCCTTTATTCCCCTCTGCCCTGCAACTGCCCTCCCACCAACATTCCCCCCACCTCCTAGCCCTTAGTTCATGTCCATGGGTGGTACATGTAAGTCCTTTGGCTTCTCCATTTCCCATACTATTTTTACCCTCCCTCTGTCTATTTTGTACCTACCAATTACGTTTGTTTTCCCCCATCCTCCTACCCCACCCTCCTGACTGATAATCCTCCATGTGATCTCCATTTCTGTGATTCTGTTCCCATTCAAGTTGTTTGCTTAGTTTTTTTTTTTAGGTTCGGTTGTTGATAGTTGTGAGTTTGTTGTCATTTTACTGTTCATATTTTTGACCATCTTCTTTTTCTTACATTAGCCCCTGATTAAACAAGTTATGATTAAATTGCCTTTAAAGTCCTTTTCAGCTTTAAAATTTAGTTTCCTAGTTTATCAGTGTTTCTCAAGAAAGTGTGTATATGTTCTCAGGATTAAGTAAGTTTAGGGATGGAAAATCATAATGAGAAGCAATTATGCCCTAGTTTGTGTGATAAATTTTTTGTATCCAAAACTTAATATATTTTAAATGGAGCATGTTAGGTATTGCCCATGAAACATAGATCTAGTTTTTATATCCACAGCTTATATGTATTCTCTTAATGGGAAGATTTACTAAGTTTAGAGACAAAAATTGAGAAGTTTCCTAATGTCTAAGCATGAATCCCAAGCAAGTAGATAATAACAATTTAACATGTAGCTGGTACATTATAGTTGTTTATGAAAACTTTCCCTTCATCTCTTTTGAAATTCCATGGAAATAATGGAGAATGGATCTCCAGGGCTCCAAAACTGCTATGTATAGGTATTGGCAATTCTCCTTCCTATACTCCTCCTCTCAAGGTCTCCTTGCCTTTTCAGCCTTGAAATTTGCAGTAAAGAGATTTCACAGAGGCTGCAGCCCCGATGGAGACCAGATCTAGGGACACCTAGATTAGATATCAGAACCTTTCCTACCAAACCTGGGGATTCTAAAGATGTTGGGCACTCCCAACTGAGACGTCAACCTCTCTCCAAACCTCCCTGTGTCCTTCACCTTCCCCAGACTTAAGCATTTGAGTCCTACTCATCTTTGAATTTCTGGCACTTGGTACATAGTGGATGTTCAATAAATGATGAAGTAATACATTTAAGATGTTTTAGTGCTATAAAGAGAACAAAAAGGAGTTTTCTGAAGATTGTAAGGCCTTTCTACATGTCCTTGTAAGAGTGGCTCTTAGAACCTCAGGGTCATAGCAACTCCTTCTCTTCATACCTGTTATTTATAACAGCTAACACCATTTATTTGGTAAAGGGACAGCATCATCAAGCATTGTTGCATGAATTTTGGCCCCTGTATAGTGGAAGGGTCTGAGTGTCATTCATCATGTATATTAGTTTCCATCCCTACAAATTTAGTGGGTTAAAAACAACACAAATTTATTATCTTACAATTCTGGAGGCCAGAAGTCAGAAATGATTCTTCACAGGGCTAAAATCAAGGGATTAGCTTCACTTCATTGCTTTTGGAGGTTGTAGAGAAGAATCTGTTTTCTTGTCTTTTCCAGCTTCTAGAGGCTGCCACGTTCCTTGGTTTGCGGTTCTAGTTGCACCACTCCCACCTCTGCTTCAGTCATCAGATCTCCGACTCTCTCCTGCCTTCCTCTTTCACTTCTAAGGACCATTGTGATTAGTTGGGACCCAGTGTATAATTCAGAACAATCTCTCATCTCAAAATCATTCTGTTAATCGTGTGCCGCCCCTTTTTCGGTGTTATGGGTTCTCAAGTTTAGGACAGGGACACCTTGTGGGGCCATTATTTTGCCTACCATACCACATCTGTTTCCTTTAGCAAGTTCAAGCCCAAACAAACAATTGACAGGTGGGACAGAAGGGCCCTGAACAATCCAGTACTAGAACACACATCTAAGCTACCATTTTCCCTTTGCTGGACACAGGGATGGCAGCATAAAGCCACCACGAGGAACTAAGTGAGAGCAATCTCAAAGAGGATGGATCTGCACGGAACGTCAGCTCTGACACGGTAGTGTCATTTATTTAACTGCTCTAAGGTTGTTTCCTCCAGTAAAATGGGGATTATGTTACCTCCTCCCTCTTAGGGCCCTAGTGAGGATCAAGTGAGGTAATGTATGTAAAGCTCCTACCAGCTCAGGAATAGGGACCCTGGGGCTGTTGTTATCACTGGTGCAGAATGAATGAAGGTGAGAGCATGATTTTAGCCTCACAGACAACAGTCATGAAGCATCCCAAACCTCACTGATGTTGATTTCTTAGACTTAGCTGAAGTTTGTTTACTCAAGATTTCTTAGAAAATCTGGAAAGTAAGCACTTCCTAATGCATAGTCTCTCGAGAAACAATGTAGATGAAGTTCCTGTGGCACGTAAAAGTTTAAGGTCATTTTCCAAGTTCTATCTAAAACGACAAGTTTGGAAGATAATGCAGAAAAATTCTGTTTGAGTCCCATTCGTTGTCAAGACACATCACTCTCAGTTCCCAAAGCCTCTCTCTTCCTGACAAAGACAAACGTAAGCATGAAGATGCTCACAACTTCAAAAGGTACCTTTCTACCCACATGCCTTCTTTACTCTGACACATCCCTCCTACCTGCCGCCTGAGCTAAAAGGCTGGTAAGGAGGCAAGTCATGTACTTTTCTAAATTTAAGTTTGATCTTAGAACTAGAAAATAAAAGTCATGGCAGATGTGTTGGAGTCTAGTCTCTGTGACTCACTCTCTGAGCCACAAAAGTCAGTTTGAGTCTTACATGTCTCATCTCTAATTCTTTCTAATTTAGGAACATGACCTCACAATGAAGGAATGTGGCAGTCTGTGTCACGTGAAGAGGTAATGAGAGCTGGACTGGAGGATAGCAGCAGGAAATGTAGTAAGAGTGAAATGTAGTTTGAAATGGTCTCAAATTCTATATTTATAAATGCCAGTTTTAACTATTAGCTCACAGACACATTTATCAGATCCACTATCAGTTGCTTGTGGTACTAATTCAATCATCATAGTAAGTAGCAACCAGTTACCTAAATTATACAAACAATATAAAAACAGCATCTGAGAAAAGCAACTTGCTAGTAATTTAAGGTGGAAATCTTTTGTTTAGCTTATTTTATTACAAAAGATGAAGGTTTTTAAATCATAGGAAAAAATCATACAGGCATGAAAAATGTAATGTGAAAACTATATGTTAATAGACATGAATCTGAGAAGGCAAGAGATCAAAACCAGGAATGAGGAGAGTTTATTCATTCATGTATTCCTTCATTTCATTTATTGAGCACCTCTGCTAGGGGATGGGAATGCAAAGATAAAAATAATGCAGACTCTGCTTTGAAGAAAGCTAGTTCTGTGAAAAGACAGCAAGAAAGCCATTTTGTGTGGAGTAATCCCATGCATACTACAAGGACAGATGACAGGATGCCCTGGGAGCACAAAGGACGGCCACCAGTCTGGACTGAGTCGGGTCATAGGGACAGGTGGGGGTTAACTAGGCAGGTAGGGAAAGGGCAGTCAAAGCAGAGAGAGCAGTGTGAGTAGGGCATAAGAAACCCCAAGTAGTTTGCCATAGCTAGAGCCTCTACCCTTCACAGAGAATAAAGATGGAATGGTAGGAGGTATCAGCTCTTAGGAGCCTTGCATACAATCACAGGCAGAATTTTATTCTTCTGGCAGTGAGGTACACAATAGAGATTTTTCAAATGTGTATTTTTAATAACAGCTAAATTGAGGTTTTTTTAAAAAAGATTTTATTTACTTATCTTTAGAGGGAAAGGGAAGGAGAGAGGGAGAGAAATATCAGTGTATGGTCCCAATGTATGCCTCTCATGCGTTCCCTGCTAGGAACTGGCCTGCAACCCAGGCATGTGCTCTGACTGGGAATCAAACTGGGA